ATGGGGAGTGGTGGGTCAGTGATGAGGAGTGGTGGGTCAGTGATGGGCCAGTGATAGGGAGTGGTGGGCCAGTGATAGGGAGTGGTGGGTCAGTGATGGGGAGTGGTGAGTCAGTCATGTGGAGTGGTGGGTCAGTGATTGGAAGTGGTGGGTCAGTGATTGGGAGTGGTGGGTCAGTGATGGACTGAAAATACTTCCAACCAAATATCAGTGATGGGGAGTGATGGGGAGTTGTGGGTCAGTGGAGGGTCAGGGATGGGGAGTGGTGGGTCAGTAATGGGGAGTAGTGGTCAGTGATGGGGAGTTGTGGGTCAGTGATTGGGAGTAGTGGGTCAGTGATGGGGAGTAGTGGGTCAGTGATGGGGAGTGGTGGGTCAGTGATGGGGAGTGGTGGGCCATTGATGGGGAGTGGTGGGTCAGTGATGGGGAGTGGTGGGTCAGTGATGGGGAGTGGTGGGTCAGTGATGGGGAGTGGTGGGTCAGTGATGGGGAGTGGTGGGTCATTGATGGGGAGTGGTGGGTCAGTGATGGGGAGTGGTGGGCCATTGATGGGGAGTGGTGGGTCAGTGATGGGGAGTGATGGGTCATTGATGGGGAGTGGTGGGTCAGTGATGGGGAGTGATGGGTCATTGATGGGGAGTGGTGGGTCAGTGATGGGGAGCGGTGGGCCATTGATGGGGAGTGGTGGGTCAGTGATGGGGAGTGATGGGTCATTGATTGGGAGTGGTGGGTCAGTGATGGGGAGTGGTGGGTCAGTGATGGGGAGTGGTGGGTCAGTGATGGGGAGTGGTGGGTCAGTGATGGGGAGTGGTGGGTCAGTGATGGGGAGTGGCGGGTCATTGATGGGGAGTGGTGGGTCAGTGATGGGGAGTGATGGGTCATTGATGGGGAGTGGTGGGTCAGTGATGGGGAGTGGTGGGCCATTGATGGGGAGTGGTGGGTCAGTGATGGGGAGTGATGGGTCATTGATGGGGAATGGTGGGTCAGTGATGGGGAGTGATGGGTCATTGATGGGGAGTGGTGGGTCAGTGATGGGGAGTGGTGGGCCATTGATGGGGAGTGGTGGGTCAGTGATGGGGAGTGATGGGTCATTGATGGGGAGTGGTGGGTCAGTGATGGGGAGTGGTGGGTCAGTGATGGGGAGTGGTGGGTCAGTGATGGGGAGTGGTGGGTCAGTGATGGGGAGAGGTGGGTCAGTGATGGGGAGTGGTGGGTCATTGATGGGGAGTGGTGGGTCAGTGATGGGGAGTGGTGGGTCAGTGATGGGGAGTGGTGGGTCAGTGATGGGGAGTGGTGGGTCAGTGATGGGGAGTGGTGGGTCATTGATGGGGAGTGGTGGGTCAGTGATGGGGAGTGGTTGGTCAGTCATGGGGAGTCGTGGGTCATTGATGGGGAGTGGTGGGCCAGTGATGGGGAGTGGTGGGCCAATGATGGGGAGTGGTTGGTCAGTCATGGGGAGTAGTGGGTCAGTGATGGGGAGTGGTTGGTCCGTGATGGTGAGTAGTGGGTCATTGATGGGGAGTGGTGGGCCAGTGATGGGGAGTGGTGGGCCAATGATGGGGAGTGGTTGGTCAGTCATGGGGAGTCGTGGGTCAATGATGGAGAGTGGTGGGCCAGTGATGGGGAGTGGTTATCAGAGGTTCATTCAGACCACATAGATCATTCGGACCACTTGGATCATTCAGACCACAGAGGATCTTTCAGACCACAGAGGATCATGTACACCACAGTGGATCATTCAGGCCAAAGAGGATCATTCACACTACAGAGGATCATTCGTACTACAGAGGATCATTCACACCACAGAGGATCATTCACACCACATATGATAATTCACACCACAGAGGATCATTCACACTACAGAGGATGATTCACTCCATATAGGATTATTCAGCCCACAGAGGATCATTCACACTAAAGAGGATCATTCAAACAACATTTGAATAATTCACACTACAGAGGACTCTTCACACTATAAAGGGATAATTCACACCAGAAGATCTTCCACACCACATATGATGATTCACACCACAGAGGATCATTCTAACCACAGAGGATCATTCACCATACAGAGGAAAAATCACACCACATGAGATCATTCACACCACAGAGGATCATTCACACTAGAGCGGATCATTCACACTACAGAGGATCATTCACACCACAGAGGATCATTCTAACCACAGAGGATCATTCACCCTACAGAGGAAAAATCACACCACATGAGATCATTCACACCACAGAGGATCATTCACACAAGAGCGGATCATTCACACTACAGAGGATCATTCACACTACAGAGTATCATTCGCACCTCAGAGAATCATTCGCACCACAAATGATCATTCACACCACAGAGGATCATTCACACTACAGAGGATCATTCATATTACAGAGGATCATTCAGACCACAGTGGGTCATTCAGACCACAGAGGATCATTCACACCACAGAGAATCATTCAGACCACAGAGGATCATTCATACTACAGAGGATCATCCACACTACAGAGGATCATTCAGACCACAGAGGATCATTCACACACCAGAGGATCATACACGACAGAGGATCATTCAGACCACAGAGGATCATTCGCACGACAGAGGATCATACAGACCACAGAGGATCATTCACACTACAGAGGATCATTCGCACGACAGAGGATCATTCACAAGACAGAGGATCATTCACACCACAGAGGATCATTCACACCACAGAGGATCATTCACGCTACAGAGATTCATTCACACCACAGAGGATCATTCACACACCAGAGGATCATACACGACAGAGGATCATTCAGACCACAGAGGATCATTCACACTACAGAGGATCATACAGACCACAGAGGATCATTCACACTAAAGAGGATCATTCACACTACAGAGGATCATTCGCACGACAGAGGATCATTCACACTACAGAGGATCATACAGACCACAGAGGATCATTCACACCACAGAGGATCATTCACACTACAGAGGATATTCAGACCACAGAGGATCATTCACACTACAGAGGATCATTCACACGACAGAGGATCATTCATACTACAGAGGATCATTCACGCTACAGAGATTCATTCACACCACAGAGATCCATTCAGACCACAGAGGATCATTCATACTACAGAGGATCATTCACACTACAGAGGATCATTCAGACCACAGAGGATCATTCACACTACAGAGGATCATTCACACAACAGAGGATCATTCAGACCACAGAGGATCATTGACACTACAGAGGATCATTCAGACCACAGAGGATCATTCACACGACAGAGGATCATTCACACGACAGAGGATCATTCACACTACAGAGGATCATTCATGCTACAGAGATTCATTCACACCACAGAGGATCATTCACACTACAGAGGATCATTCAGACCACAGAGGATCATTCACACTACAGAGGATCATTGACACTACAGAGGATCATTCGCACGACAGAGGATCTTTCACACGACAGAGGATCATTCGCACGACAGAGGATCATTCACACTACAGAGGATCATTCACACGACAGAGGATCATTCACACAACAGAAGATCATTAGCACGACAGAGGATCATTCACACTACAGAGGATCATTCATGCTACAGAGATTCATTCAGACCACAGAGGATCATTCACACTACAGAGGATCATTCAGACCACAGAGGATCATTCACACTACAGAGGATCATTGACACTACAGAGGATCATTCAGACCACAGAGGATCATTCACACTACAGAGGATCATTGACACTACAGAGGATCATTCGCACGACAGAGGATCTTTCACACGACAGAGGATCATTCGCACGACAGAGGATCATTCACACTACAGAGGATCATTCACACGACAGAGGATCATTCACACCACAGAGATCCATTCAGACCACAGAGGATCATTCACACCACAGAGATCCATTCAGACCACAGAGGATCATTCACACTACAGAGGATCATTCAGACCACAGAGGATCATTCACACTACAGAGGATCATTCGCACAACAGAGGATCATTCAGACCACAGAGGATCATTCACGCTACAGAGATTCATTCACACCACAGAGGATCATTCATACTGCAGAGGATCATTCACACTACAGAGGATCATTCAGACCACAGAGGATCATTCACACTACAGAGGATCATTCACACGACAGAGGATCATTCGCACGACAGAGGATCATTCGCACGACAGAGGATCATTCACACTACAGAGGATCATTCACACAACAGAGGATCATTCACACCACAGAGGATCATTCACGCTACAGAGATTCATTCACACCACAGAGATCCATTCAGACCACAGAGGATCATTCACACTACAGAGGATCATTCAATCACTTGTAACAGAATACATTACCTTCAATGTCAAATTACAGAACTATCCATCTACCCAAAGAGAATACTTGATACTATCAATACATGCCAACATGATAGAAACACACGTTGTGACAAGGGAAATCCTACAAAACAAATATGTTGCCAGCGAAATCAATGACTACGTTGACAGACAGCTAGCCTACGTTATTAAATCTGTCAATACACTTAGCTGACAATGAATAGTTTTACCACTCAATAACATGCTTGTTTGTTACAATATCCAAATATGAATCAAGAACAATCTTTTTATTTTTTCTATTTTTAACTTTAAGAATAGAGACAGGTTGAATGGTTTAAACCACTTAAATAACTTGCATCAGAGCCTTTCAGAATAATCATTTTATTCAATCTGAGTTGTTTCATTTTATGGTACGTAATTCTTTCGCCAGAATCCCAGATATCAGAAATTGAATACACTTAACAACTCATTTAGAATATCTTCACAAACATTTTCGTGTACAAGTCTTTACAAAAACTTTGCTTTTGGATTATTTCTTTAGGTTCACACTAAACTTTTCAAACAATCATCCAGGCCTACAATAACCATCACATCAGTCTTCATCGATGACCATATTCATCACTGTCCAATGGTGAACTGTGACATAAGCCATGTTTACCTGGCGATGCCTCCCCTTGTCGGACAAGAAATGTTCATTTGGCATAGCCTGGCGACAGCACCCATTCCTTTTAGGCATTTCTGAATACCATCTGAAAATAACAAAACCATCACATGACTAGAGGACCTAGACCAATCTCTGAAATAAACTTATCTTACAGAAAAATTGTTGGTAAATCATCTCAATTAAGAAATGATGAAAAGGAGCCCAGAGACTCTTCATTTCCTGATATTGCAGTAATCTAGACTTGCCCACTATTATGGACAGACATGAATAGAGGACCATGAAAGTCACACAGGTTTGAAACAGTGACTGTTCCAACTTGGAAATCTCTGCCTGCTGCCAAACATTTGTAGTGTAGATGGTCCCAAGCCATGACCATCTTACCCTGAACAATACGACAATGGGGAGCACAGGACCACACTGAAATTGCGTAGTCAGCAAAACACAAATTAATCTTGAGAAAAACTACATTGGATTAACAAGATTACCATGGCTGAAACTCAGTTCAAAAGCAGACTATGCCAAGTCTAACCTTTACCTGCCTTAGACATGTGCCAGTCATGTTTTACTCAACAAAGAGCAAGCCAAAACTGGTAGTGTTATTGCAATTCATCGGTACACAGGCGCATCGTCAGCAAACTTTGCACGATACGATACCCGATACATTTAATTTGGCATCGATTCCCATTTATCCCTGTATCCATTGTCCATGATGAATAAGCAAGTACAAACTATTTTTTAAATTCCTTATAACTTTTTGGCCGTCCTACGGATACGAAACCGGCCCAATAACAAAACTGACCAGCTTTTCCTTGCTGACTGTCATAATACAATACATAAACTGTTTGTTTCTTATCCTATTCTCATACAGAATGGTTGGCTTGATTCATTGTCATGTTTGATGGGAATTAGTCAGTTGTCCTTCTATGAAACTCTATTCTCAGTCTAATGACTGGGATTTCCTCATAAAATGTCATAGATACAGTATTGAGATACAAATCACATGGTGGCTTCTGTATCAAGATATGTATCACATCGTGTAACGCCTGTACTGCGACATCCATACAAACTGGTCATATCTTGGATTTAAACCCCCAATATTCTTCTAATTAAAGTTGGATATGGTGTTGCGTGGTGCCGCAATCAATATTTACTGTGGTCAACAACATGAGAGAAATGAGCAAAGTTTGAACCTGAGAGTCTTGTTAATGTGAGTGAGTGAGTGAGGATGCTTTTACCCCGCTTTTAGCAATATTCCAGCAATATCACGGCGGGGGACACCAGAAATGGGCTTCACACATTGAACCCATGTTGGGAATCGAACCTTGGTCTTCGGCGTGACGGGCGAACGCTTTAACCACTAGGCTACCCGGTGTAGACTAGGTCTTCAGCAACCCATGCTGTAAAAGGCGACTATGCTTGTCGTAAGAGGCGACTAACCAATGTCCTTGATGGTACAGAGTCTGACAACAGGCAGTAACCAATGTCCTTGATGGTACAGAGTCTGACAACAGGCAGTAACCAATGTCCTTGATGGTACAAAGTCTGACAACAGGTAGGAACAGATGTCCTTGATGGTACAGAGTCTGACAACAGGTAGGAACAGATGTCCTTGATGGTACAGAGTCTGACAACAGGCAGTAACCAATGTCCTTGATGGTACAGGGTCTGACAACAGGTAGGAAAACATGTCCTTGATGGTACAGAGTCTGACAACAGGCAGGAACAGATGTCCATGATGGTACAGAGTCTGACAACAGGCAGTAGCAAATGTCCTTGATGGTACAGAGTCTGACAACAGGTAGGAAAACATGTCCTTGATGGTACAGAGTCTGACAACAGGCAGGAATAGATGTCCTTGATGGTACAGAGACTGAGAACAGGCAGGAACAGATGTCCATAATGGTACAGAGTATGAAAACAGGAAGGAACAGATGTCCTTGATGGTACAGAGTCTGACAACAGGCAGGAACACATATCCTTGATGGTACAGAGTCTGACAACAGGCAGGAACAGATGTCCTTGATGGTACAGAGTCTGACAACACGAAGGAACAGATGTCTATGATGGTACAGAGTCTGACAACAGGCAGGAACACATATCCTTGATGGTACAGAGTCTGACAACAGGCAGGAACAGATGTCCTTGATGGTACAGAATCTGACAACAGGCAGGAACAGATGTCTATGATGGTACAGAGTCTGACAACAGACAGGAACAAATGTCCTTGATGGTACAGAGTCTGACAACAGGCAGGAACACATATCCTTGATGGTACAGAGTCTGACAACAGGCAAGAACAGATGTCTATGATGGTACAGAGTCTGACAACAGACAGGAACAAATGTCCGTGATGGTACAGGGTCTGACAACAGACAGGAACACATATCCTTGATGGTACAGAGTCTGACAACAGGCAGGAACACATATCCATGATGGTACAGAGTCTGACAACAGGAAGGAACAGATATCTATGATGGTACAGAGTCTGACAACAGGCAGGAACACATATCCTTGATGGTACAGAGTCTGACAACAGGCAGGAACACATATCCATGATGGTACAGAGTCTGACAACAGGAAGGAACAGATATCTATGATGGTACAGAGTCTGACAAAAGGCAGGAACACATATCCTTGATGGTACAGAGTCTGACAACAGGCAGGAACAGATGTCCTTGATGGTACAGAGTCTAACAACAGGCAGGAACACATATCCTTGATGGTACAGAGTCTGACAACAGGCAGGAACAGATGTCTATGATGGTACAGAGTCTGACAACAGACAGGAACAAATGTCCTTGATGGTACAGAGTCTGACAACAGACAGGAACACATATCCTTGATGGTACAGAGTCTGACAACAGGCAGGAACAGATGTTTTTGATGGTACAGAGTCTGACAACAGGCAGGAACAAATGTCCTTGATGGTACAGGGTCTTACAACAGGTAGGAAAACATGTCCTTGATGGTACAGAGTCTGACAACAGGCAGGAACAGATGTCCTTGATGGTACAGAATCTGACAACAGGCAGTAGCAAATGTCCTTGATGGTACAGAGTCTGACAACAGGTAGGAAAACATGTCCTTGATGGTACAGAGTCTGACAACAGGCAGGAATAGATGTCCTTGATGGTACAGAGACTGAGAACAGGCAGGAACAGATGTCCATGATGGTACAGAGTCTGAAAACAGGAAGGAACAGATGTCCTTGATGGTACAGAGTCTGACAACAGGCAGGAACACATATCCTTGATGGTACAGAGTCTGACAACAGGCAGGAACAGATGTCCTTGATGGTACAGAGTCTGACAACACGAAGGAACAGATGTCTATGATGGTACAGAGTCTGACAACAGGCAGGAACACATATCCTTGATGGTACAGAGTCTGACAACAGGCAGGAACAGATTTCCTTGATGGTACAGAATCTGACAACAGGCAGGAACAGATGTCTATGATGGTACAGAGTCTGACAACAGACAGGAACAAATGTCCTTGATGGTACAGAGTCTGACAACAGGCAGGAACACATATCCTTGATGGTACAGAGTCTGACAACAGGCAGGAACAGATGTCTATGATGGTACAGAGTCTGACAACAGACAGGAACAAATGTCCTTGATGGTACAGGGTCTGACAACAGACAGGAACACATATCCTTGATGGTACAGAGACTGAGAACAGGCAGGAACAGATGTCCATGATGGTACAGAGTCTGAAAACAGGAAGGAACAGATGTCCTTGATGGTACAGAGTCTGACAACAGGCAGGAACACATATCCTTGATGGTACAGAGTCTGACAACAGGCAGGAACAGATGTCCTTGATGGTACAGAGTCTGACAACACGAAGGAACAGATGTCTATGATGGTACAGAGTCTGACAACAGGCAGGAACACATATCCTTGATGGTACAGAGTCTGACAACAGGCAGGAACAGATTTCCTTGATGGTACAGAATCTGACAACAGGCATGAACAGATGTCTATGATGGTACAGAGTCTGACAACAGACAGGAACAAATGTCTTTGATGGTACAGAGTCTGACAACAGGCAGGAACACATATCCTTGATGGTACAGAGTCTGACAACAGGCAGGAACAGATGTCTATGATGGTACAGAGTCTGACAACAGACAGGAACAAATGTCCTTGATGGTACAGGGTCTGACAACAGACAGGAACACATATCCTTGATGGTACAGAGTCTGACAACAGGCAGGAACACATATCCATGATGGTACAGAGTCTGACAACAGGAAGGAACAGATATCTATGATGGTACAGAGTCTGACAAAAGGCAGGAACACATATCCTTGATGGTACAGAGTCTGACAACAGGCAGGAACAGATGTCCTTGATGGTACAGAGTCTGACAACAGGCAGGAACACATATCCTTGATGGTACAGAGTCTGACAACAGGCAGGAACAGATGTCTATGATGGTACAGAGTCTGACAACAGACAGGAACAAATGTCCTTGATGGTACAGAGTCTGACAACAGACAGGAACACATATCCTTGATGGTACAGAGTCTGACAACAGGCAGGAACAGATGTTTTTGATGGTACAGAGTCTGACAACAGGCAGGAACAAATGTCCTTGATGGTACAGAGTCTGACAACAGGCAGGAACAGATGTCCTTGATGGTACAGAGTCTGACAACAGGCAGGAACACATATCCTTGATGGTACAGGTTACACACTTCCAAATGTTTTCCCATAGACTTCTGTAGTAACGTTAAACTTTTGTTAAAAATAACTAAGCATTCAACAGCTTTAACCTGTACGTGTGTGCACAGCTTGGCCTTAGAGTAGCAATAAAAACATAAAAAATGACCAGCTTAGCCAGTTCCTTTTCCGAGTACAGGAAGCTAAACACACCACCCCCAGTTTCGCACCAAATGTCACCTACCTACTCATCATGTTGGAAAAGACAGTACTAAATATAGAAAAACATGGTCAGTTTTTATAACTGGATGGATGTAGATTTGAAAGACATAAAAATCTTACAGAAAATCCTCCAATCACAGCCTGCAGATATCTCTCGATCTGCACTGAAGGCTCCCTACGAAAACCGCACTGTCCCAACTGGTTCTGATTTGGTGTAGTAGAACCTGTAGACAAATCAGAATACATTTGCACTTGTCAAATCTGTGATTTATGTATTGTATATATATGTAGCTTCTCAGAAAAAAAAATGGAAATTGGATTAAACTCTACCACTTGTTCCTATCCAGCATGTCTATATGGCACCAGAATACATAGTTTTGATGCACAGTAAGAGTTGTGAGAGTTTAAGGATGTACACTTCATCAATGTTTTACAAAAGGTATTTCTGTATTAATAAAGAAGTTTCTTCCTCCATGCACTGACCATGGGAGTTAATTCATATTTCATAAAAGAAAGGGGTCAAGGGTCAATTCTATAAATGATTCAGGCTGCATAGATCATATCACCCTAAAATATTTTTTCGACTAAAAAAATTGAACAAATCTTTAAACCTCAAAACCAGTAACAATACATATTTAAATTGAGTAGTGGTCTGTTGTTTGCCTTCCTTTGCTGACATCATCAGAACATAGCAGAGTCTGCTACATTCATGGAATATGGTTTTGACACTGGTTTTTGATGCGATTGATATTGTTTGAGATTGCTCGAACTTACACCAACCATTGTTTATATAGTTAAACACTCAAATGGCTGTCAGCATTTGGTAAATCATCTATGGAGGGGCTATCACAAATGTTTGTGATTTCATTTACTCCAAAAATCAAAAGTACAATCACCTACGATAAAGGCTGGTGACATAAGTACACATGGAAAGGAATCAGAAAAAAAATCTCAAACTTGGACAGAGAGCATGGAATTCAGGCCAACAATAAGCAAGGGACACATTAAGCAGCTTTAAAGACATCATATATGTAAGGCTGGATAATGAACTTTACCAGAAAATAGGAAGTAAAGGGGTGCATTGTTGCCAGCAATCTCAAAGGCTGACCAGTGAACCATACCGCCTATTAAAGCCAAGAAATGGAAATGGACGCTCAAGTAGAAGAAAGCTCTTTGAAACCACAACATGGAAGGAAATTACACTTAACTCTATTGATTTATTTAGTTAAGACTTTAAAATACTCACAGGACATCAAACATACTTACTGTTTAATGTTTCAAGGTGGCTTAACTTGCTAATTTCAGTTATTTGCCAGTTTCAATGAAACAAAGTTAAAAGTCCATATAATTTTGAAAATGTACAGCTTACCCTGACATAAATGTAATTCTTTTTATTCACAATTAACAGTGTCATGCAATACCAGCTTAAAATAGTGTTTCTCTCCAATAATTTATGGGTTTATAGGGGAATGAAAGATACAATGCATTTTACTAAACAGGGGAGATAATTTAGTATTGTCGAACACTATCACATTCTTTACAGATGATTTCAGAACCATAATGTTACATTCCAAAAGAGCCAGTGGATATTATTTTCTTCTAAGCAGGTTCTGGGACTGGTGTATAGCCCTTACTCTATGCACAGTGAGGCATTAAGGGATCACTGTCAGAAATGTCTAGAGCATGAGGGTGATCTTATTACAGACTTGATAGTGAGCAACAGAGGGGCCTCAAGTGGACTGGGGTTCTTAAATGTACTTAATGTACCTACATGTCCAAATTCCACAATGTCTACAAGGTAATAGAGCGCAGCGAGGCAAAACAAGGGTTGTCGATCACACACTGCCAACACCGGACTTCGGATCAGCTTCTCTAAATGCCAAATTGGATGTGAAAACTTCTACTTCTTCTGCATGAGTGCACATATACCTCCCCAGTCAACATCAGGCATGCTAAAAGCTGAAAAAAAGTGTACAGACAATATCAAATGGCAAACCAGTTTGGATATAACAGCCAGGAGTTAGTTCTTGAGGGGACAAAATAAATATTTGAAACTCATATGAGTGAAAAATAAGTCTGTTTTAAGAAACTTAACAGAAAAATAGCATCATTCATTCACACAAAAGCATCTAACAGAAAGATATATTGGTATGCTACATTGTTTACTATAAATAAGGGGATGTGTGACATATTCTGCTGTCAGCAGTGTACATGCTTCATACTCAAGATAACGGCATTGCGTAACTTGACTGGCAAGCGATTGACACAAGGCAGAAATTGTTATGGCAGTGGTGACTTTATCCTAATTTGTTGTCAAATTCATCAGTTTCAACAAATTCAGAAGGCAGGAGGAGGGCTTGTTGGACAGAGGTACCCTGGGGGGTTCGTCCTGAGTTCGACCACAATACGAAGCAACATTCATTTCCAGGCCATCCAAATGCTCCATTCAACCCAAAATGTCCCCAACTTCACTGTCATTATTTTTGAATTTGCCTCCATGGTGTATCCATGGTGAAATATAAACAGGAAAGCATGTAAAGTAGGAATTACTGAAATGTGCACTCACCCTACAGGTTACACATAACCAAATGTTTTCCATTGACTTCTATAGTAAAGTTATATTTCTTTTAAAAATAACTAAGAATTCAACAGCTATGACCTGTAAGTGTGTGCACAGTTTGGCCTTAGTGTAGCAATAAAAACATAAGAAATGACCAGCTTAGCCAGCTCCTTTTCTGAGTACAGGAAGCTAAACACACCACCCCCAGTTTCGCACCAAATGTCACCTACTTGAAAATAGCTGTGCTCACATGTGCATAAGTCATAAGGTTGAAAAAGACAGTACTAAATATAGAAAAACATGGTCAGTTTTAATAACTGGATGGATGTACATTTGAAAGACATAATTATCTTACAGAATATCCTCCAATCACAGCCTGCAGATATCTCTCGATCTGCACTGAAGGCTCCCTACGAAAACCGCACTGTCCAAACTGGTTCTGATATGGTGTAGTAGAACCTACAAAGTCTGACAACAGGCAGGAACCAATGTCCTTGATGGTACAGAGTCTGACAACAGGCAGGAACCAATGTCCTTGATGGTACAGAGTCTGACAACAGGCAGTAACCAATGTCCTTGATGGTACAGAGTCTGACAACAGGCAGTAACCAATGTCCTTGATGGTACAGAGTCTGACAACAGGCAGTAACCAATGTCCTTGATGGTACAGAGTCTGACAACAGGCAGTAACCAATGTCCTTGATGTTACAGAGTCTGACAACAGGCAGTAACCAATGTCCTTGATGGTACAGAGTCTGACAACAGGCAGTAACCAATGTCCTTGATGGTACAGAGTCTGACAACGGACAAGAACAGATGTCCTTGATGGTACAGAGTGTGACAACAGACAGGAATTAATATCATATTATATTAATTCTTCTGTGGCTGTATGGGAAAATAGGGATACACAAGGATTGTATTGCAACATGTGTCTCGCTGACGACCGTATTGCAATACAGTAAACTAGGTTTATAGCGAACACGCTTATAACGAACTGACAGATATAACAAAGTTATTGCCTATTATTATACTAGGTTTATGACGAACACGCTTATAACGAACTGACAGATATAACAGAGTTATTGGCTATTATTATACTAGGTTTATAACGAACACGCTTATAACAAACTGACAGATATAACAAAGTTATTGGCTATTATTATACTAGGTTTATGACGAGCACGCTTATAACGAACTGACAGATATAACAGAGTTATTGGCTATTATTATACTAGGTTTATGACGAACACCCTTATAACGAACTGACAGATATAACAGAGTTATTGGCTATTATTATACTAGGTTTATAACGAACACGCTTATAACGAACTGACAGATATAACAAAGTTATTGGCTATTATTATACTAGGTTTATGACGAACACGCTTATAACGAACTGACAGATATAACAAAGTTATTGGCTATTATTATACTAGGTTTATAACGAACACGCTTATAACGAACTGACAGATATAACAAAGTTATTGGCTATTATTATACTAGGTTTATGACGAACACGCTTATAACGAACTGACAGATATAACAAAGTTATTGGCTATTATTATACTAGGTTTATAACGAACACGCTTATAACGAACTGACAGATATAACAAAGTTATTGGCTATTATTATACTAGGTTTATAACGAACACGCTTATAACGAACTGACAGATATAACAAAGTTATTGGCTATTATTATACTAGGTTTATGACGAACACGCTTATAACGAACTGACAGATATAACAAAGTTATTGGCTATTATTATACTAGGTTTATGACGAACACGCTTATAACGAACTGACAGATATAACAAAGTTATTGGCTATTATTATACTAGGTTTATGACGAACACCCTTTTAACGAACTGACAGATATAACAAAGTTTTTGGCTATTATTATATAACCAGGGTATTTTAGAAAAAGAGTTTTTGGTATTTACTTAAAATGTAGTTTACTAAACTAAGCTTTTGGGTAAAATATAGACGCATATGAGAGAAGTGATTGTACAGGGTCAGGGCAACACTCCTGGGGCAAGTGATGATTGGTTTTGCTTCTCTTAAGTGATAGAGTTTACCTTTCATTAGTACAATGAATTAGTAGAATTGGTCTTGCAATAAAAATGTCAGACGGGAGATAAATGGATGGAACAAAATTGTTAGTCTTGTGGTGGTCAAATAGTTCTGAGTATTACTGCTGGATTAGAATGTCAAAATAACATGAATAAGTATCTATTCGGTGCCTTCCAGCCTGACAGAGTATTTGATGGTATTTGATTATATGAGTATGTCCGAGTTGACCAATGACCCTAGGGAAGTAATCAAGGTGGTCAGTCGAGAAGAGTATTTGATGGTAAAACTAATTACAATGGAAATTAGGGTTCATTAGAGGAATGACCATTATGACTCATTTTTCATGATGTCAAATATGATTTTGGAGGGAGGAGCTAAAATTATCATCGAATGTATTTTCTGAGTTGTCCGAGAGTGGTGCGGGGAGTCGGGAGCAGACAGCTGAATAGAAAGGTTCACTGTGGTTTTGGGACCCCGAGTCAGAAAAGAAGTAGAGTTAACGTTCATCAGAAAAAACCATCAGGCTCTTCAACCATCACCTAGGTATGTGTTGTATTTATATCAGGCAACAACAAGAACTAATCTGAGGACCATGTGTGTGTATTTATGATTAACTCTATCATAAATAAAAAGGACTGGAGCAAACCATCTGACTTGTGATTTTGAGAGAGAGCTACATCATCCCTAGAACCAAGGAGTAGTTGATAGGTAGAAGTGACCATACGTAGAAGGGTAAAGTACCCGGAACCTAAGGTTACAATTATACTAGGTTTATAACGAACACCCTTATAACGAACTGACAGATATAACAAAGTTATTGGCTATTATTATACTAGGTTTATGACGAACACGCTTATAACAAACTGACAGATATAACAAAGTTATTGGCTATTATTATACTAGGTTTATGACGAACACGCTTATAACAAACTGACAGATATAACAAAGTTATTGGCTATTATTATACTAGGTTTATGACGAAACACGCTTATAACGAACTGACAGATATAACAAAGTTATTGGCTATTATTATACTAGGTTTATAACGAACACGCTTATAACAAACTGACAGATATAACAAAGTTATTGCCTATTATTATACTAGGTTTATGACGAACACGCTAATAACGAACTGACAGATATAACAAAGTTATTGCCTATTATTATACTAGGTTTATGACGAACACGCTTATAACAAACTGACAGATATAACAAAGTTATTGCCTATTATTATACTAGGTTTATGACGAACACGCTTATAATGAACTGACAGATATAACAAAGTTATTGGCTATTATTAAACTAGGTTTATAACGAACATGCTTATAACGAACTGACAGATATAACAAAGTTATTGGCTATTATTATACTAGGTTTATAACGAACATGCTTATAACAAACTGACAGATATAACAAAGTTATTGGCTATTATTATACTAGGTTTATAACGAACACGCTTATAACAAACTGACAGATATAACAAAGTTATTGGCTATTATTCTATAAATAATTAGCCTTGTAAAATTAGCAGTCATGACAACTCACCACATATTATACTGAACAACAAAAGTTCCTGTGACATTGAATAAGACTGAATGCAAAGTTATGTTTTTTACCAAATCTGAACCAATTTTGGTTTGCAACAGGTAAAAGACTCATGTAAGAGTTCAAATGGTTTAATTTGCCATACTGACTTCAGAAAATGCGTGATTTCATAAAAAAACATGATAATGCCAAAATGTCAATTTACAAATCAATAGCATGTATGTCCACCTCTGGTTGCGATGCAAGCAACACATCTTCGTCTCATTGAATGGACCAGGCGTCACACAAAGGTCCTCATGGATATCTGCCCATATCTGCTGGAGCATGTTTCGAAGTTCCTGGAGTGTCTGTGGAACACGTGGTTGATGTCGAAGGCGCAGATCCATCTCATCTCACATGTGCTCGATTGGTGAGAGATCAGGGGAGCCAGCCGGCCAGGGCATGACATTCAGGTTGTTTTGTTGAAGAGAATCCTGAACAAGTCGAGCAATATGAGGCCGGGCGTTGTCATGTTGAAAGGTAATGCCTGTGCCATGACAGTCAGTGAATAGAACTTGTCCCCACTGCATGGCCGTCCAGCGTAGATGCTGTCTGCACCACTGTAGACGTACTTGACAATGGTTTCCTGTCAAAATGGGATGTCTGGCGCGTCTTCTGGCGACAATCCATGCACATCTGAGGCAATGACGTACGGTTTGTGAAGATATTCGTCAAAGGCCAGGGATGCTTCCTGCAGTCACTCTGACTGGCTGGAATTGATTTCGTAGGTACGTTGTTCGAATCCAGTTGTCTTATCGATTATTGGTTACGCGTGGCCTGCCACCATGAGGATGGTCTCTGACTGCATTCGTATGTTGCCAACATTGCCATAAACACCAAATGGTGTTTCTGTGGACAATAAATTGATCTTGCAACATCATGTTGACTCGATCCTGCTTCAAGCAAACCAATGGCTCGCAGACGCTCATTTTCTAACAGGCGTGGCATTTCGTAATGTTAAATAATTGCGTAATTTTGTTGTTTTTCTGAGTGGTTGTTGTCAGCACAATGCTAAACAATGCATATGGAATCCCGTTATGCACATGTTTTTATACCCATTCTTGTAGGGATGGGACGGGTAACTTTGGTACCCGGGTCGCGTGGGTACTGAGTTGGACCCGGGTACCCACAGGACTACCCGGACCCGTCGTTAGTCATGTGATATATTGTTAATGACAAAAATTATCCAGAACTGTATGGTTAGACTACAAGTCACTAATGTTCGCATTTCTTTCTGACTATGCACCTATTTCTTTCTGATTTTTCATACGGTTGAATAAAGATATAACTTAAATCGAATTCACTGTATGAATGACTAGATTGTTTAATACAATAGGGGGGTGGGTACCCGGGTAGTAAATCTGGACTCGTCCCAGTCCTACATTCTTGGGTAGTAAAAGGCATGGGGCTTGCATAAAAGTCAACTTTTTCATGAAATGCATGCTTTTCTGTAGCAGTTGCATTTTGTGACTTGATTCCAAACATGTACTACGATATTGAAAAGCAAACTTTACTTGTTTGAAAAATACACTGAAATATTGGTGTCACAGGAACTTTTGTTGTTGAGTATATGCTCAGTCTGGTATTAAGCTGCAATAAAAGCACAAATTTTGGCTAGGTTAGCCAGCTCCTTATCCGAGTACAGGAAGGTGAACACACCACCCCCAGTTTCGCACCAAATCTCACCTACTTGAAAATAGCTGTGCTCACATAAAGCACAAGTCATCTTGTTGAAAAGGTCAGCACCAAATATTGAAAAATATGGTCAGTTACTGGATGGATGTACATTTAAAAGACATAAAAATCTTACACAATATCATCCAATCACAGCCTGCAGATGACTCTCGATCTGCACTGAAGGCTGAAAAAACGCACTGTCCAAACCGGTTCTGATTTAGTGTAGTAGAACCTGTAATGACGACCAAGTCATTCATTTATAGTTGTAAGGAAATATCATATTTTGGTGTAGCAAACGCCCCTGAGCTCCATACAGTGGTGGACCATGGACTTGTGTGTGCAGAGCCTTCAATTATTCTTAAAACAATGCTATAGCATTATTCAAACTAATTCTTTTTGTGTAATGAGGTGAAAACATAATTAATGAAAATATTAATTACATTATTTCGGTACCAAAATCTGATTTTGTATTTTTTTAAGGTGAGTGAATAAGCCAACTGTAACAGACAGATACAAGAGTTACCCCCCTTTCATTCAAGTAACAGTTAATTCTCAACACCTATCAAAGTCATTTATCCCGTAATGAGTGAATATTTTAATCTTTTTTTGGATGGAACCTTTACATCAATGTTCCTCTTGAAGAAGTTTTTTCGCTCACAAAGTTCACACTCAAAATGATCATGAAGCCACTGTGCAACGTTATAATTTTCTGACAAACATTGAGAATAGGTTCATGTTACAGATTCACAATCTCTCAGTAATAAACCATTACTAAAATGAAAATTGCCACAATCAAATAAATTGACAATTTTTGATATATATATAACAGACTGTGCACTAAATATAACACAATTATATACATTAAATAGAGCATGGGGTGGGGTGTGGGTGTGGTGGGAAGATCACCCTATCTGCCCGACCCCACCCCCCATGAATCATTGCTGTACAATATTTCATACAAGCACACTGTACTTTACATTAATTAAAACATAAATTGAGTTATTTGTTGTAACACATAACATCATAATTGATCCTCCTAACTACGTTGAAACTATGTCCTTTAGTGAAAATAAACATGTTTTAGTCACAAACACGTGACATTGACAATGTGAAAAAATTGAAATGGTTCAGCCGGACAAAGTTTGTTGTTAAACTTTAAACACATATCATAGTTTGTCATCGCGAAATTTACAGTGCACAAAATACCCCAATATCATAAATATATTCTCCTTTACAACATACTTACATATACTGCTTCAAATTGCGAGAATTGTTGCTGGATTGTTAAAAAAATACTGTAGTCGTAAATTCGATCGTGTTTGTCCGAAGGGAAGTAACTGCGTAGTTATGTAAAAACTGCATACCGCTAATAGAAATAGGGTGGGGTCCGATTTATAATTTTTTTTTATATATTGTCCCTTATAACTTAAATCTAAAATATACTGGAAATTATAACAAATGATTGCTGAAGAGAATACACCCATTTAAAACCGCATATTCGGCTGAATTGATAGTTTCAAGAATAACTGTTGACTTAATCAATGAAATCAAAACTTCCAAGAAAATTCTAAAAATAGCAGCTTATGAAATACGCACGCAACCTTTACCCTAGTTTGTGATGGACGCTGATTTTCCCGCTTTCTGCGTTAATCGAGGAATTAAGAGATGGGATTTTGAACCGACCCTCCGAGGTGTGGTAAACTAGCTTTGAGAATAAGTGCAGGAAGAGTTACCTCCTCTTGCCATGAGAATTGCTGAGAGACCATTATATGGTCTCTGGCGTGAGCAAGAAAAAAGAATGTCGAGTGAAAGATATAAATGGACTAACCTGCAGATGCATGATGTGCCTAACAGTCCTGACCTGCGATGGAGATGCGACAAGACCGAGCGAGCACGCGTGTGTGTGGTGATGCCTGCCACAATATTCAATGACCATGTGATGGAGGCAAACACCTTTTCCATTCGTAAAATCGCTTGTGATTGGTGCTTGCTGCCTGCTCCTTGCTTCCGGGTTACGGAAATGGGCGAGCGGTGCCGAATGGCCGAACAGTGTGTTTCGCATTCGTGACCAACTCGTGTTATTCCGGGACAAGCCGAATAGCGACTCGTGCCCCTCTCGTGGCCATTTTTGCGACCGGGTTCCGTCTTAGCGCAAACGGGCATACCTAAATCAATTGTCAACTCGTTGCATAATGGTTCACGTATATTTACCCGTATATTATATATATTTCAGATGCAATTCAAAGCACACCTAGACATGCGAGATTATACAGTATGTTTGAACACATTTAAATGTGTCTTGGGTATATTTTTAGATGCAAGACTCCAAGGCTGTAATGAATTATGTCTGCTGATAAGTTCAAGGATTTTATAAAAACAATTCTATCGTAACGATCGGCGAGTCTACAAGGAGTTGTAGTCAAAACGGCCTCGAAAGGTAAAGTCAAAACGGTCACAACTAAAAAGTAATAACGGTCACACAGAAAATATAGAAGACAAACTCAAGTTTGCATTAATTTGTTTTACAGAAAAAGAGAACAAATGTGAAGATAGATTTAAAGAAATACAACAACACAACACACATGCAGAAAATAAAAATGACAATGAGAAACAAAATTGTAACAAAATAAATATAAAAAAATTAAAAAGGAGAAAGAACAGACTGGAATGAAAGAAAGCTGAATTTAAGATATTTGTAAGTAATTTGTGTTCGAAAAGGAAGCTTTGATTATGGCTGAAAGTGGAGAGGGTCAACAGCAGACGATAGTTTTATTTTTTTTCAGATTTGTTTAAAGAATACGTGACTTGGAAAGCTTCTTGTAAAGCAACAAAGAACGCGCTGCGTGTGAAGACGGACGCAAGGTTTTAACTACTTGGGGATACAGACGAATACGATTGGTCGCTTTGTGGTGTTTAGGAAGCTGTCGCTAGGCGGAGTTTGTGTTTGAGGGGCGTGTGTGTTGTTTTTGTTGTTGTTTGTTTGTTGTTGTTTTTTGTTTGTTTGTTGTTGTTTTTTGTGTTTTTTGTTGTTGTTGTTGTTTTTGCCCTTTGAAAATACATACCAGAGACTTGGTGCCTCTAGGGTTTGGTGTTGATGTCTTGAGTGATGGATTGCAATGATGTGCCACGTTGAAGAGCGTGGGCCATGGTTTTATGCCATGTCGTCTTTGTATAGCCATGTTGGTCCAGGAAGACGGAGTCGACCAATGGAATGGGTGGCATTATGACTACTTCCGGGTCAATATTTCTTGGGTCATTGGCCATGAGAAAACAAAAAAAAGTTTTACTGTAGAGAGTGAATGAGAGTCCATCTTTGAATGTCTAGGGTTTCTGCTTAGTTTCCAGCAATGTTGTATTCCTTTGCCTCAGGATTTGGAAAGCTGGCATTACCACATAGGTACCATTGGACAGCGGACCCTATTAATTTTCCTAGTTTTACCTCAACGTGTGACCCGTGAAGATTCAGGGGTAGAATAGAACTTCAGCAACCCATGCTTGTCGTAAAAGGCGACTAATGGGATCGGGTGGTCAGGCTCGCTGACTTGGTTGATGCATGTCATCAACCCCAATTGCGTGGATCGATGCTCATGATATTAATCATTGGATTGTCTAGTCCAGACTCGATTATTTACAGACCGCCGTCATATAGCTGGAATATTGCTGAGTGCGGCGTAAAACAACAAACCAACCAACCAACCTCAACATGTTGGAAGGTTTGGACTAGACAATCCAGTGATTGAAATCATGAGCCTCGATCCACGCAGTTTGGATCGATGGCATGCATCAACCAAGTCAGCGAGCCTGACAACCCGATCCCGTTAGTCGCCTCTCACGACAAGCATTGTCGCCTTTTTGGGCAAGCATGGGTTGACCTATTCTCCACCGGATTTTCACAGGTCTGTATCCTAAATATCCTAAGTAAAACACAGTGATATGTTCGCGAAAGGAATAGGACATAGTAAATTTAATTGTTGCTAGGCTATGGGCGCAAATATACAAATTGTGGCTTGTCCATTCGTGACCACTGGTGTTGGGAAAAGACTTGCTGCAGAGTTTACTCTGTGGGATGATACAGTGAGTTGCGGATGTCTTCAAATCTCCTTGTGATTTTGCGACAGATAAAAGGGGACACAAGTAAGTCAGTTCATGCATGATCTACATGTTGTTGTCGGCGCTCACCTTGTTTGGGCATTTGTTCAATAAAAAAGCACATTCACGATACTATTTGTGTAGGTATATGTCTATAGAAAGTAGTAAAACGTAGCCCAATGGACTTTGACGTCACAGACGTCTTGAAACGTATGACGTCAGAACTGGCGATGATGACGGCATACCACATGTACTTGAACTCTGTGGCCTTGGTTCTGTGACTGCTGTCAGTGACGCATTGTGTGGTCAAATTGTAGTTGGATTCGGCCAGAAAATTGACGAAATTCAGAGGTTTTCTGCCTAATGCATCAACGTGTGTGACTAGATTTGGAATTGAAGAAATGTCATAATTGAACTCCTAATTGACATGTAATATACCGCCACGGAATGCCTGTTTAAAAGAGTCACAGTAAGAAAAAGAGTTGTATTATTTACGTTGATCATTTGAACTATCTACAAAGTCACGTGACCGCAGCCCTACTGCTACGAAGCACAGAACTCGACATTCGTGACCAACTCCTGTTATTCCGAGACAAGCCGAATAGCAGGTTACTGAAAGGGGCGAGTGGTGACAAATGAGGAACTCGATATTGGTAAGTAAATATAGATATATACCCCCCACTTAGGCCTGTTTGGCTCCATTCGTCACCACTCGCCCTTTTCCGGCTTGTCCCGGGATAACACGAGTTGGTCACGAATGGTTTGGCTCGGAAAACGAAGGCCTATGAGGCATAACAAGGGCATTTTCAAACTTATTGTTGGTTTCCTACTTTCACTGTGAGAAAGTTATATTTTCTTAGCCAAAAAGAAAGAAAGTTTTTTTCTGCGTGTACACTTCCCTTTTAAGTGAACTTGCCTTAGGATGTGACCAAATAGATTTGGTTGACGTGATGGATGTGTGTCATCATACCCGGCTTCATGGCTGACGATTGCTCACAATATCAATCAATGGTTTGTCTGGTCCAGACTTATTCATTTTCTTGCTGCCATCACATTGTTTGAATATTGGAGTGCAGTGTTAAACAACAAGCATTATACGTGTATCTAAGTCATAGTTCAGTAAGCATATTCTGGTATGAGAAATTATGGGGTAAACTGCAGTATTTGGGTCCCCAAACTGGAACGAACGTTCTTACGTTTGCCTTCCTTGGTGTACTGATGAATCCGAGGACCGAAAACCTGGGAAAAGAATTTTTCCAAAAGTTTTATCTCCAACAGTAATTAGAACTCAACCTACATTTTTAACCAATCAGACGCTCGGATTTTCCTGACAAAATAGACACTAAATGATTAAGAACTCAAGGCTAAATGCCTATACATGACACGCCCACACAGGCTTTCATTGGTCAAAGGAAAACGACAACAATGTTTTCATATGTTTATTGACATCCAACTCCACATGACTCGACTCCCGAACACGAATATGAGAGAAACAACAACTTAGGCCTGTTGATAATAAATGAGTGAGTGAGTGAGTATGGTTTTACGCAGCTTTTAGCAATATTCCACCAATATCATGGCGGGGACACCAGAAATGGGCTTCACACATTGTACCCATGTCGGAAATCGAACCCGGGTCTTCGGCGTGACGAGCGAACGCTTTAACCACTAGGCTACCCGACCGCCCCTGATAAAATGAACACAAAAAGTCATGTTTACTTTCTTTAAATGTCAATGCATGGTTACCTTTTTCTGTCCCTTGCAAATAACCACACTTTTAACACATTCGGGTATTGAGAGAACATTGCTAGAGGTATTTTCAACAGTTTTTAGCAGTGCATGGAGATTCGACCATCGATATTTTTATTGTCGAAACTCCGGGACGTGTCAGTTTCGTTGTTTTTTGTTGTTTGGCTGCAAGTTTTCAGTAGGACACGGGGGACCGAGCTTGTTGCTGATATCTTTTAGGATACCAAACTGTTCACGTTGGTAAATTCTCACAGCGTTACTGCGATGTTTACTCCCGCTTGTAACGGCCTTGTCGGTAAATCCACTGTTGTACAATGTTGTACTACATGTAACGCGACCGGAGTGGTTCGAGATATTTCTTCCATCTGTATTTATCCCTGCTTCGTCATAGAATGTCTTGTACAACCCGGACAGTTAATTATTTGGAATACAACTAACACTGAATCTCGGGAGGTCATGTTTTGGGTCAAGCGGTTTCCGGTACAGGGGTCCTTTTCTCGGAATCAGTGACAAGTACTTGTCATACAGTTTCACAAGACAGCTCGGGTTTTCTAGTTGTTCATAATGAATGATAGGTCCGATGTCAATTCGGCGATGTTTAAGTCCTCCCTGCACATTTTTTTAAACACGAGGTAAATACTTCACGTACTTATTTCCGTCGGGATATTGTTTCACTTCAAACTGATCAGCTTCACAGTTTTTATGTTCCTGATATCCTCGGAAAGCGAAAGCTTTTCCGTTGTAGAAAAATACGGCGTTACCGAGCCCTTCCGCTGTATCCAATGAAAAAAAGACCAGATTCCCACATTTTACGCTCATCGTCTTCAGTGACGGGATCACAGCGTTTCTTATCCACACCGACGCCTTTTGCCGTTAACGTTTTCATCTGAGCGTACAACGTCTTACGGAAGTCGGAAAACGTAGGGTCGTCATCTTTGAAAATGTTTATATCAGGTCTGCTACAATCCTGTCGAAGATATCTCTGTATTGCTGACACAATCTGGGTCAGTGTGTTGGAGGGATACGGCGACTTGTCTTTCCTCCGAATTTCAAGAATGAAACGCTGCATGCAGAAATCCAAATCTCGATTGTTTAACGCCGAAATATCTTCTGGAATCACACCGAACTCTATCAGAGTTGTCCTTTGCTGATTTCTATAATGTACCCAGTCTTTCCAAACATTAATGGCCCACTGGTTATTCTGTCTAGTTTTCTTTGGAATAGCGCCTTTCTGCTCCTGTTTGATGTCGTCAGAGGAAAAGGGCGCCATAAAACGGCCATCGTTGGGTTGGAATAGATGTCAACTGGGTTAGACTGGGAACTTCAAAATCTGCATTCGCTAAAAAACAAAACAAATCAAACGTTCCCTTTTCATCGAACACGTCCATACTCGTTGATGTCACTGCGCCAAATGACGTAGACCAACCTTGATAATGACGTCACGGGAGCTGTCAATCAAAATGTAGGCGAAGTTCTAAGTCAGTTAGAATCTATGAAGAGAAATATTAGCCACTAAGATTTCTCTTCATAGATTCTAACTATTACATTGTTCAGTGGATGCCCTATATAAAATTTGTCGTGTATGGTGTTTAGTATCCTTTTCAAAGTCTTAAATTGTATGTTTTGAAGCATTCAGAGAAAGACATCCCGTCTCAAACTCAAAGAGAATTCCAATCTGTTTCAGTCACCAAACAAACCCTGTTATCTATACACTCTTACGTGAACTATAATCACCATGCACACATGTTGCGTGTGTGTGAACTTTTTGGAAAAAAACTCTTGTCAAGACTTTCACTCCGGCAGCAAACATATGCTTGTCGTCAACAGTATACATACATATACACCCATATCTTTCCACAAAAACACCCAAACATTGTTGCATGTAGCATTGCTAACCCATAACCACCATACATCTGAAGTTGTTTCTTCCCCTTTTGACCCAAGCACTCTCAACGCTCCGTTGGTTTCCGGTTTAGAATAGGTCTCCAGTTACCCATGGTGGTCGTACAGTCGACCAAGTGGATCGGGTGGTCAGACTCGGATACTTGGTTTATTGCGTGTCAGCGTAATTCGACGGCGAGATCTCAGCATCGATCACTGGATTGTCTGGTCCAGATTCGATTATGTACAGGCCGCCGTCATACAACTGGAATATTGCTGAGTGTGGCGACAACCAACCAACCAGCCAACCAACCATCCAACCATCCAACCAATTAACGGAAGGCCCAAATCACCTAATAATCTATCTGCATCCGGGGTAGAATAGGTCTTCAGCAACCTATGCTTGCCGTAAATGGCGACTAGGCACAGCGAATTGTGGCGCCTTTGACGACAGGGCCACCCGTGCCCCAGTATAATAAGGGGTATGACGACCTTTTGTAAATGTACCGCATTTTATTCGTCTTTTTGACAAGCAAGGGTTCTTTTCAAGCATTCATATGAAATAATGTATTTTTCCAATTCAAATGTGATAACTTCATAGTATTTGTATTGTATTAACTGTCACGTGACATTAATATTATGATCGGAATCCAGACAAAAAGATTATTGCTGATCAACTTTGAATCAACGTAGTAGTAAGAAGTCCGGCATGCGAGTTGTGTATTTGTTTTTGTCTAGAGGACAACATCTGTTCCTAGTGATCACATAATGTCATATAATATATGTCGAAATATATTTTCCAGGTCCAAATGCACGTTCGAGACTGAACTGTGCCACCGAATGAGCAATACACACTGAACGTGGACGCGGGACGCAGTACACGACTACAGCGACGACGACCAAGGGCAGCGTGACCTGAACTTCGATCTGTGTCAGGTATAAATTCCTTATGTGAATTATTTATAGTAAGGTCGGGTGTCGGGTTTCTGTCTGTGGTTTATGTCATAGGTTATATGCCACTGAGTCATAGACAAAATACATCAAGATACAAGTCAAAGGCTGATGTGCACCAAACCGAATGTACAACACACCTTTAAGACGGAAGTGAAATGCAGTACACAAATGTAGTAGGTGTTAATTCTGCAGCTTGTAAATATGTTAGTATTTTTAGTGTAGATAAAGTAACTTGTCTTTTCTATTTCAGCTTGTTGATTCAACAGAGGGTTGTGTCATTTCCTGGTTTCTATCTATCATTAGTTGTGTCCTTATCAGTATTTGCTACTGATAACTTTCTACTGGGTCAAAGGTCAATGGTCCAGTCTATTTTACTTCCAAGGGTGTTTTGTTCTATTGTTTGCTCGTCATTAGGGTTACCTGTTGTGAGCCAATTAGTATACCTTTCAATTCAAATCCCTTTCTCACCTGCCATTGCTAATATTATGCTGCACACACCCACCTGCACTGCACAGCAATGGATTGAGCATCAAGTTATAAAGGTTAGTAATCATAATTAATCTGTATCAATCTAAACATTATAATTTCAATCATTAGTATAAATCAAGTAATAAATAATAAAATAGGTTTGAAATAACTTGTAAACATAAACAAACGATAGGTTGAGTGAATGAGGTGAGTGTGATGAGATTAGGGTCTGATTCATGAGTATTGCTTATCTATACATATATTTTATATTTCAATGCATTGGTTATTTGGTATTTTGTGTATTATGGTATTTGATGCATATTTGCTATTATTTAGTAAATCTGGTGTATTTCTAGACTTTGTACATATCTCTCTAGATGTATACATGTATTTATTGATAGTTGTATGAATGAATGACTGAAGTTGTATTTCAGTGATGCATGTATATGCCGTGATTGTATATGTTATTTACAATATTATAATAAATATTGTATCTGTATTTAGGGTCATGTGACTGTCGAATGAGATGACTGGCAGAAGGCATGTTACACTCTCGTGTCACACACAGGGTATGTTTTGTATATAGTTTATCTATATAATATGTTCATGTTGTGCATTCATTATGCATAATATGATTATGTCATTATTTAATGATTTCCTCAGTTATGCGTTTAATAATGTGTAATTATATTGTCTTTGTATATGAAGGTACATCTGCACTGTTTAGATATCGAGGCAGAAATATATTTGCGTATCTGCTGTAATGATGTAATCAGTTATTAAGAAGCAGATCGATTCTTTACATTTAATGTGTTATTGTACATTTATTCTGAAACATGTGATATATTGTGATTTTAAATTGTTTCAGGAGTGTCTTCTTTATGCCTTCAACTGAATAAACTGATATTCTCACAAACCCGTGGACTGTAATCTCTTGCGACTAAGGGTTACATATAAGGTCTACAACATTGGAGCCCCCAGTGAGGATTCAGCGGTGTTCCAGCGTCTCAACATTGACCAACATAGACTTGATGATGTGCTGCTAGGTATATTTTTGTGATGTGCTTCATAGAGACAAACTGATATATCAATTTGATAGCAGTTTCTATAATTGATTTTATTTTCATTTATCAATAACTGGATAAGTGATTGACTTGTGATACAGTGATTCGGTTTTCCATCCACTATGACTGAGTCCATATCTACTTCCATCAGATGAATTGAAGATATCTCCAAGAATAGTATACATTTCTATCATTACTTCTGCATTTATATTCTGTATAAGATTTATGTTTTGATATTTACATTTGTGTGACATATTTATATGCATACATTTATCCTTGTTTAAACACCAGCAATTATGAATAATTATGCTCTGTTTATAGTGTTTTTTGCATTTAGTTTTGATGCGCTAATTAGTTGGGTTTTTTTGTCAGTTGAAGAATTTGAGTTGTCTGAGTGTGTATAAATTTGATTAAATTTACTTTTAAATTTTGCTTCATCAAAACTTAGTAAAAAAGCTTAGTATCATCCTTTAAACAAGCTTACTTAATTTAGTATATTATTCAATTCAGTATTTGCACATTGCACTTTATTGCTGCTGCGCTATACTAATTAATTTAATAACATCTCAAATCCCCTCGTTGACATTTAGTTGGGCTTTTGTGCTTTTGGTTCTTGTTTTCTGTTTTTTGGTTTATATTTTGCATCAGGTCACAAGGTGTTCTGTTTATTTTTTGTCGCGTTTCTCGCATTTCTCTGGTCGTATGTTGTGTGCTCGTGTTGTCGCGTTGTTGTCACGCAGTGTTGCATCAGCTTGACGTGATATTTTCGGGCAGAGCTGTCGAAATTTGATGCTGCATTCCGTGTTTTTACATTGAATACAATATAAAACTTGGGTGTTTGTGTTATTCTTTTGCAATATTCTCTGAATTTAATTATGTTTATTACCTGATCTCAATTAGTTAAGTAATGTGCACTTCAGGTAGTTTAGTTTAGTTTACTTAGTTTAGATGTAAGTACTTACTTAGTTTAGTTTGAGTACTCAATTACGGTTTCATTCTTAGTTTAGTACTGAGTCATTAGTTGCCACGTGGTATTAGTGTATTTTTCACTCACTTACAAGCATGTAAGCTTGCCACATATTCCCTCGCACACAAACAGTTAGTTTGTGCTGTTAGTCTATAACACTTATTACTTCTACCACAAACTCCGTTGTTTGTGCTGTTCACCATTCAACATATTTTTTTCTGTTTGTGCATTTCTACTTTGTGCTACATTTTCACACAGGAGTTTGTCTTCGTAATTTCACTGGTGAATCTACAAAATGGAATTTAGCAAAGAGGAAATGGAAAAGATGATTGTTGCCTTTGAGAAGGCAGGATTGAAACCTAAAGCTGATACAGCGGAGGGTTTCAAAGACTGGATCACTTCTGTCTCAGAACAGGAAGTTATAATTAAACAGGAAGTTGATCTTGGAGCTAGTGCTTCAGTGGATGATGTTGCTCCGACTAATAGTACTACACAACAGAAGACTGTCAGTACTCACGCATATCACAGCTTCCCTAAACTTACAGTATTTAGTGGGGAGCCAGGCAAGGATAGTGAATATGACCTTTGGCGATATGAGGTCGACTGCTTGATTGAGGCCAAAACACACAGCAATGAGGTGATTCTACAAGCCATACGGAAATCCCTCAAGGGTGAAGCTGCTCTTTCAGCAATGAAGCTTGGTCACAAAGCTTCAATTATAGACAACCTATCCAAGTTGAAGAGTGCTTTTGGGACACTTCGAAGAATTTCTGTACTCATGTCCGAGTTTTACAGTGCCACTCAAAAGGATGGTGAAGATGTCACTGCTTGGAGCTGTCGTCTTGAGAGATTACTCTACCAGTTGGTTTGTCAGAAGTCTATATCTCATGCCGAGCAAGATGAGATGTTGAGGTCAAGGTTGTGGGATGGCTTGAATCCTTCTCTTAAGGAACTAGCAGGCTACAAATATGAGTCTCTCAAGAATTTTGATGACCTTCGTCTATGCCTAAGAGAGTTGGAGTTGGACTTGCATCGTGGGACTGTTCCTCAACATAAAGGGAAGCAAGCTATGGTGAAACAAGCGTCTTCTGAGAAGTCAACAGAGCCTGACCACTATTCTGAACTTAAAGATATGTTGAAGCAAATGAAGTCGGAGATTACTGGCATAAAGGATCATCAAACTCAAATGACGACACAAATCAATCAGCTTCAGTCAGGGCAACCAGATGTTAGGCCCAGAGGTCGTGGTAGATCAGGATATCGAGGTGCTTATGGTTCCACACAGGACACATCAACGTCAGTGAATCAGTCTGAGAGTGCCTCTGGATCAGATATTCCTCCATCTCAAGAGAGTATACAGCAACGACCACTCCCTGTTTGTTGGAATTGTGGTTATCCTGGTCATCTTTCATATGGTTGTCGTGTCCGACAGGATCATCGCCGGAGACCTTTAAACTCCAACAGGCCTATGGGCAGGGGGCACTCCTAGGCCAAGATCTACGCCCCAGAGGACGACATGTCATGGACAAGCTTGTGGGTCATTCTAATGAGGTCAAGCTACAGGTTGAGGGTGTCACAACCAGAGCTTTACTTGAAACTGGAGCGACAGTGTCTCTTGTGTCTCAGTCTTTTTATGATTTCTTCTTGAATCATTTACCAATTGAGCCTTTGGGTTGCATGTTGAATATCGAACATGCTGGTGGTGATTCTTTGCCTTACATAGGTTTTGTTGAGGTTGGAGTCAGTTCTGATGGTTGTGGTCTTGGTGATTGTGTCACTTCTTGTTTGCTTCTTGTTGTACCTGATACTAAGTACAACCATAAGGTACCTATTTTACTTGGCACAAATGTACTTTCACGTTTGTTGGGTGAGTGTAAGTCTGCTTATGGTGTTCATTTTCTTCAATGTGCTGACCTGTTTACTCCTTGGTATTTGACATTTCGGAGTATGGTTGTTCAAGATAAGGAACTATCGAGGAATGGAGGAGTACTTGGCTACTTGAAGTCATCAGAGACAAGCAGAGTGATGATTCCACCCAACTCTCATGTCACTATTAAGGGACAACTATGCCATAGCGTACCCTACCGTCAAGTATGTGCCCTTATACAAGCTACTCAAGACTCAGTGTTACCCAGGGATCTTGATGTTGCACCTACTCTATTGACCTATGATCACACCAAGCCATATGACATTGATGTACTTGTGTCAAATGTTACCACTCAAACAGCTGTTGTACGTCCTAAGGATCTATTATGTGAGCTTCAGCCCGTCTCCATAGAAGGAATGACACCAACTATGCCTTCAGATCCTGATACTTTGCTTGACCAGATAGAGTTTGACCGTGATGGACTTACTGAAGATGAGATAGATCAAGGACTTGGAGTTATTCAGCGCTTCAGTAATATATTCTCCAAAAGTGAAGATGATCTTGGTCACTCGTCACTTGTCCGACATAGGATAGACCTCATAGACGACACACCTTTCAAACTACGGCATCGTCGTATTCCTCCTGGAATGTTTGAAGATGTAAAGCAACACTTGAATGACCTATTGTCTGCTGGAGTGATAAGGCCCTCACACAGCCCTTGGGCATCAAACATTGTTCTGGTTAAGCGCAAGGATGGTCGTTTACGACTTTGTGTTGATTACCGCCAGTTAAATCAGAGGACAATAAAGGACAGTTATGCATTACCCCGTATAGAAGAGCTTCTTGACAGCCTTGGTGGGATGAAATTTTACTCAGTGCTGGACATGAAGAGTGGATACTACCAGGTGGAGCTTGAGGAAGAACACAAACAGCGCACAGCATTTACCGTAGGCCCACTTGGGTTCTACGAGTATAACCGAATGCCTTTCGGTCTGTCCAATGCTCCCGCCACCTATCAGCGCCTCATGGAGAAGTGTTTGGAAGGTCTGCATCTCTGTATTTGTCTCATCTACCTGGATGACTTATGAGGAGCTATGAGGAGCATGTAGAACGCCTCAGACTAGTCTTCCAGCGTCTCCAGGAGTGTGGCCTCAAACTTGCTACTAAGAAATGCACGTTTTTCAAACGGAAGGTCAGGTATGTGGGATATATAGTGTCAGCTGAGGGAATTGAAGCAGACCCAGACAAGATCGACAAGATCAAGAACTGGCCTGTTCCCAAGAACCCTGAGGATGTTCGTCGTTTCCTGGGTTTCGCAGGGTATTACAGGAAATTTGTACAGAACTTTTCAAGGATTGCACGTCCTTTGTCGGCCTTGATGCCCTCCACACCACAGAGGAAGAGCAAGTCACGGAAGCATGTACCTCCAATTGACTGGCAGTGGGAAGAAGCACAGCAGTTGAAGTCCTGTCTGTCAAGTCCTCCAGTTCTAGGATATCCAGACTTTTCTAAGCCCTTCTAGCTCCACACAGATGCCAGTGCTCAGGGATTAGGAGCTGTTATATACCAGGAGCAAGATGGGGTATCTAGAGTTATAGCCTACGCCAGTAGAGGACTCACACGCTCGGAACGGAACTATTCAGCTCACAAATTGGAATTTTTGTGCCTCAAGTGGAGTGTGACCGAAAAGTTCCATGACTACTTATATGGACACGAGTTTTTAGTCTTTACAGACAACAACCCACTTACGTATGTGTTAACTACTGCAAAGTTAGATGCCACAGGACACAGGTGGTTGGCTGCTTTATCCATGTACAACTTCACCATCAAATACAGACCTGGAAAGTCTAATGCGGATGCAGATTCCTTGTCAAGATTGCCAGTTTGTGAAGAAGTCAGCAGTGAAGTTGTTCACGCCATCTGTGGGAAAGTGCAGGTGTCCAGCTTGGTCGTGACCATCTGTTTGTCTGTTGATAGCATGTCCAAGGATGATGTTTCTGTTGTTGAGGAACAATGTCGAACCAATGCCAAGGAGTGGAGTAAGACTCAGCGTAGAGACCCAGACTTGTTAGACATTATTGATTCTCTTGAATCAGGACAGAGATTGGACCGCAAGATGTACAGAGATAATCCTGTTATGACTGGTCTGCTCAAGAACTACAATCATTACAAGCTTATTGAGGGTGTTCTCCTAAAAGTTACTGTGACAGCAGATGGTACTCAGGAACAGCTAGTTTTGCCTTCAAGATGTAGACTTGCTGCACTCCGTAGTTTGCATGATGACTCGGGACATCCTGGCAGAGACCGCACTTTATCTCTTTTAAGAGAGAGATTCTATTGGCCAGGCATGGCACAGGATGTTCAGAAACACCTAGAGTCTTGTGACAGATGCGTAAAGAGGAAGGCGACCACTGACAAAGCACCACTAGTTAACATCGTGACCACACAGCCCCTAGAGCTGATATGCATGGACTTTTTGACTATCGAGGCATCCAAAGGAGGTCACCAGTATGTGTTAGTGGTCACCGACCACTTTACCAGGTATGCGCAGGCCTATTCATGTCGGAATACCTCAGCAAGAACAACAGCTGAACTATTCTTCAACCATTTTGTTGTACATTATGGTCTTCCACAGAGAATACATTCCGACAAGGGTGCCAACTTTGTAGGAAACCTCATGACTGAGTTGTGCCACCTTTTGCACATTGAGAAATCTTCCACTACCCCATACCACCCTATGGGTAATGGGATGTGCGAACGATTTAATAGGACTTTGTGTAACATGCTCGGTACTTTAGATCCTGAAGCAAAGAAAGACTGGAAGACACGTGTTGGGCCATTAGTGCACACCTACAACAGCACAAGGCATGAGTCTACTGGGTACTCACCTTTTTATCTTATGTTTGGCCGACACCCAAGGCTTCCAGTTGATGTTGCTTTTGGTCTTGACATACAGCCAAGCAAGCCAAGAACAACCTTACAGTATACAAAATCCTTGAAGGAAAGGTTGGACCAGGCCTACAAGTTAACATCCCAAAAGGCAGATCAATCTTGTAGTCAGCAGAAGGATTTCTACGACAAACGTGTGAGAGCTGCAGTTCTGGATGTTGGCGATAGGGTGTTAGTACGAGTTGTGGCTTTTGAAGGACGTCATAAGATTCAGGACAAATGGGAAGGTGACATTTATGTTGTGATCCATCAGCCTAACCCTGATGTACCTGTCTACACTGTCATGAAGGAAAATGGACAAGGACGTAAAAGGACCCTGCATAGAAATTTGTTACTTCCTGTGAGTTCTCTTCCACGTCAAGACGTCACACCACCTAAGCCTGCTCCCAGAACTAGTGTTCCTAGACAAACAGTAGTTCCTAGAAGATCAAGGAGAATCCAAGGACAAGACCCAGATTCTGATGAAGATGAGGATGATGACTTCATAGTTGTTTCCACTCCATCACAGCCGTCAGTGTCAACTTCTAGAGAAGTTGATAGGCCAACTGAAGTTAGAGTAGATGAAGATAGAGCTTCTACTTCAAGTGATCAGGATGTGGAAGAGCCTGCAGATTCTGTTCAGGAACAGGATCAAGAGTCCGATGTGGATCAGTCTGAGGATCAGTCATCAGAATCTGCAACCTCAGACACAGCTTCTGTACCAGAGGATGTCACTCCTGCAGTTCAAGACCAGGATCTAGAACCGATTAGAGGATGTGACTCAGTTCCCCAGGTAGCTCCTAGACCAGTACCAGCTCCTAGACGCTCTACCCGAGAACGGAGAAAGCCTCAGTGGATGCAATCTGGAGATTACGTAATGCCTGCTATCACTGATGTTCCAGAGGACTGGAGAAGTCGAGCTGATTATCTACTTTCACTGATAGGTACAGGAGTAGTAAATGACGTCACAGCCAAGAGTACGCTTTTGTCCCTTATTTCCGGTCATGACAAATGATGTGGACATCATTTTGCCGAGGGGAGGAAGTATGTAGTAGGTGTTAATTCTGCAGCTTGTAAATATGTTAGTATTTTTAGTGTAGATAAAGTAACTTGTCTTTTCTATTTCAGCTTGTTGATTCAACAGAGGGTTGTGTCATTTCCTGGTTTCTATCTATCATTAGTTGTGTCCTTATCAGTATTTGCTACTGATAACTTTCTACTGGGTCAAAGGTCAATGGTCCAGTCTATTTTACTTCCAAGGGTGTTTTGTTCTATTGTTTGCTCGTCATTAGGGTTACCTGTTGTGAGCCAATTAGTATACCTTTCAATTCAAATCCCTTTCTCACCTGCCATTGCTAATATTATGCTGCACACACGCCTGCACTGCACAGCAATGGATTGAGCATCAAGTTATAAAGGTTAGTAATCATAATTAATCTGTATCAATCTAAACATTATAATTTCAATCATTAGTATAAATCAAGTAATAAATAATAAAATAGGTTTGAAATAACTTGTAAACATAAACAAACGATAGGTTGAGTGAATGAGGTGAGTGTGATGAGATTAGGGTCTGATTCATGAGTATTGCTTATCTATACATATATTTTATATTTCAATGCATTGGTTATTTGGTATTTTGTGTATTATGGTATTTGATGCATATTTGCTATTATTTAGTAAATCTGGTGTAT